TCCCCGACGGCAAGATCGTCAAAGAAGGGCAAGTCTGCCCTAATCTCTACTCCCTCTCTCTCGTTTGCGATCATGGCTACTGGGTTGGCATAAAATTGACTTCTTGCTGCTGGGTTGTTGTAATTTCAGGCAGGTGATCGTTAGGGCTCGGAATTTGAGGGCGGCGGCGAATTTCATTCCTGCCAAGTCATTTCGCGCTCGTCGAGCTTATTTCAGTAACGAGGTTTGTCTTCTTCCTAACCCCAAACATTGGAGCTGCTTGGGGCTTCTTGTTCAGTTCTTTCATGTTCGGTTTTAGCAGAGGAATCAATTTAGCGAATTTGAATGTGCAATCTGGATTGTTGGTTTGGGGAAGTAGCTGCAATGAAACAGCTAGAGCTTTAGGTTTCGAAGTAGGAAACACAAATTTGCATATATGCCTTCTTATGGTGAGAGAGTCAAGAGTGAGCTTCCATAGAATAAATTTGGGTTCTGAAGTTAAGAATCTGTAGAGTGTATCTGCATGCTAGCAGAAGAGCATTGGATTTTGTGGCAACATGTAAGGAGGTTTTTGTCTTTCTGGAGGCTGGCATTTGATTGTTTATGGCATTAAGTATTGAAAGTTCTTGTCTTTCCGGGCTGGCAGGAGAATGGACTGCTGCATGTTCCTAAAGGGCAAGCTCAGAACCCACAAGCGCAAATGTTCTCTGATCCGAACATGGCCATGGATATGATGAAGAAGAATTTGTCTATGATTATACCTCAGGTACTCTCACGTTTGATGGAGCTAATTTTAGCTATCTCTGATGGGGTTATCCAGATAATAAAAGTTATTGACTCTCTTGTCTTGCCGCTGCTACTTGTCAGACTCTTACTTTCGCCTGGGTCAACTTTTTCTTCTCTGGATTTGTTGCAGGTTTGTTTTCTGTTTATTTTTGTCTTGTTGAATGTTTCTGCTTTGATTTTTTTTTTCTTTTTGTCTAACATGTTACATAATACAATATGTTGTCTCACTTAATTGTTTGGTTTTCTCTTCCTCCCAGCCAAGATACCCTTTCCACTGACTCAGAGGTTCAGATCAATGCTCCAAAACGGGATTGACTTGAGTACTGTTGATGTTAGCTATGTCAGTAGCCGATCATGGTAATTACCTACTTGCACAAAGCAGAAATGATGTACTTTGATCTAATTTTTTTTCCTATAGCTACTTAGTTGACCACGTCTGTTAATATCCTTTGTCCAGGTATTTTCTTAATTTATTTGGGTTGAGGGGCTTATTCAGTCTTATCCTTGGAGAAGATAATGGTCAGTGGTATCTTGTTTAGATTCCATATGTTACCATTACTGGCTGTTCTTAGCTTTCTACGTCTTTTGTCTGTTATTTTCTGACAAATTATGGTCCTAATGCAGCCACTGATGATGCTCAGCGCATGATGCAAATGAGTGGGTTTGGCTTTGATCCAACGAAGGTATGAACTGAACTTGGTATTCACAGGAGCATTCTATTTTTTTTGAAAGATTCTGCTCTAAGCTTATAATAAGAACTATTGCCAGTATGTTCTGGATTTTTAACTTTTGAAGGTTTCATTTAGCCTTGGGATCATGTTGATAAACAGTCATACTGGCTGCATACACGATCTCTCAGAACAAGAATCATATATTATGATCGGAATAAAGAAATGATTTAGGGAGACTTCAGTTTGTCATAATGTAATCGATCTTGTGCAGTAGGAGATAACAAGATAATCTTAACGTGCAACTTTTTTGGAAGAATTGCCTTGTACTAGAGTGTTTGCTTTTCATATCTAATGTCCGAGGATGTGTAATAGATATAAGGCAACCAAGTTGATATCGAATAAGCATAACTCTTTAATAATACATGCATTTTTGACTGGTGATCCTCCTAGATTATTGTGGGGCATTTCATACTTACTTTAGTTCTTGGTAACCCAGCTTCTGATAATGGAACTTTGTCTAAGCTCTCTGTAGTATACTAGTTGCATCTGATTGTGACCTACCTGAAGACAAAATTTGCCCCCATATTTTATCCCCGTTAAGGTCAATTTGCTAGTTGCCGTGTTTTAAGCTTCCCAATTAACTTTGCTCCCAAACCGCTTACTCCTTAGCTAGTAGTTATAGTTATGCCTTTCCTGTGATGGTTTGTGAGCAGTCGATAGATAGATGTAATATAAGTAGCAACTTCATATGGGTCTGCTCTAAGAAGTTAAAGATCTTAAGCAGTATATGGTCACAATTGCCTTAATCCAAGCATGCACTCTTGTACTTCATTCAGTTGAACCATCCGTAGCAGTCTTATCCATTCTTTTTAGCTACTGAAATATCTGCATTCCAGAGCATGCATCTACAGCTCCCTACCTGTCTTCTTGAATGGCTGCCAGATCAGTTCACATGCAATTGCTGCATCTTTTTTTACTAGAGAGTCCCACATTGAATCATAAATAGCCAAAACAACTTAAGGCACCCAAAAGTTATACAAGACCATGGTGAAGAAAACAAATGACTACTAAGTACAAAAGAGATACATGTGCCTGGCTTGAGTCTTGTCCTTTTTGTTTGTCCAAGTTGGTAAAATTGTCCTTTCTTTAGATGTTTCTTCCGGTAAGCCAACCCTTGGTTAACATTACTGGATTTTTAGATACGAGATTCACAAGTATCTGTTTTGGACCCTATACTTTATATCAGCCTTGTGTTTAGCTTGAGATATCTGAATCCAGATTGTTAATAACTCTCAAAGAAATTTCTATCTGGGTAATTTCTAATCTGCCTATGTCCATCCTTGACAGAATTTGGGTGCCGAGAAAGATGGGCTCGATATAGTTCAGCACGAATGGGCCCTACCAAAGTTTGAGCAGCGTGCAGAAGCAGTCCTTAGAAAGCTTGTAAGTTAAGGTTTTCTGTTGATTTATGCAAAAAACAGTCTCTAGTCTTGCATAGATCTTCTGTGAGCTAGAAAATTGACTGGACTAGAACAATTACCCGCGAGCCCAGTGAATCGATCCTTGTATTTGGGATTTTTGTTTCTCAAGATTATATGATCAGTGAGAAAATTCCACCCTGCTTACTGTAGTTTGTTTCTCTTACCTCTTGAAAACAAAGGGCACACAGTTCATGATAGTTCATCAGATTTGTATGAAATCGTATGGCGAACATATGAACACATATTGATTTTGTTGCTCCATTGCTGTAGGAAACTGCACCTTGTATGCACACTGTCTTCAATAGTTTCTCACTGAAGCATGAGTTGCAGGCTTGTATTATATTGTTTGGTTTCTGATTGTCGGATAATGACCATGATCATCTCTTCAGAAGAAAAATAAAACCAGTTGGTATCTTGGTAGAATTAATCTGTTGATATTGGGACATTCAAAAGTGGATTAGGTTTGTTTGCCAAAATAAAGGTATAGGATGAGAAATTGAAAATATGGTCATGACTCATAATGGATGTAATAGAAGGCAGTGTCAGGGAAAGAGGGAGAGAAAACAGGAACAGGGTAGAAAAAAAAGGAGTTTGTCGATTTGCCATGGTTTTCTGAAGCTCATGTTTGTGTTTAAAGGCATTTCTCGGGGGCCCGGCTAAGAAAGGTGATATGAAATGAGTGCCACTATTAGTCAAGATGTCTCACTAACTGTTTTTCCATTGATTTCAAGTACATGGCTCTATCTTATGAATCAACTCTGTAGAGGGGATCAAATCATCTGATTTTGTCCCCAAATCTTGAGTTGCGAAACGACTGGTATGGGTACTTGCTTAATCAGGGACTTGGAGGGATATTATTTTCCGATTGTTGGATGAATGTGAGTGGTTTCTGTAAATCATAATTGATGAGGACGTTTTGAAGATCGAGCTGCATCAACTTGCTCTCATCTCAATTCTCATGCTGAGATAGCTGACTACTGCAATAAAAAACCAGTAGCTCCACTAGGCTATAGAGATTGTCTGGAAGAGGGAAGAACCTAGCTTATCGCGGTTCACTTAGAAGGCCCCCCCATAGCATGAATGGGTTGATTGGATTGTTCAAAGCTGAATGAATGATTTTGGTGTAACTTTTAGACATTCAGATGCTTTGAACCATAACCATCATCTCAGGTGTTGGCTAAAAAGTTGTGGCTATAACATTTGCTTTTAAGCTTGATGTGGGTTGTTTCCTGTACTGTCTCCATCTTCATCCCCTTCCTTACTTTTCCTAATTTCCCAACCTTCTGGCTGGTCCAGATTGGACTGCTCAATGTGCCAAACCTCGAGCCGATTCAGTTGGCTCGTCACTGAAGGTTTTGAGCAGCGAGAATGTAGTCTAGTGACCATTTTTTGCAGTCGATCTTGTGAAGGGATATAATGGATCCCATAGATAGGTACATGGCAATGGCATGGGAAGGTTCATGACACAGAAATTGGAGGACACTTGGCCATGAAAATCGCATTATGATTGAACTTTTTGTGAAGACAGGATGAGACTGGAGGACCGTGATTGAGCGTGGCCAATATCAGACTCCCCTCAGATGGTAGGGTCGTCCCTAAATTAGCAACATGATGGTTTCCCAACCCTTGTTTGCAAATTGGCTTTGGCTGCCTTCTTCCAGAGTCCCCACCAGGGCAATAATTACTCACTACCGGACATGGAAACTCTGAGCATTGAGCAGTAACTTGTCTAGCTAGCCAGCGAATTGCAGTAAGGTTTCTTACTGTACATCTCTCTCTCTGATCATTGAACAGCCCAAATGGATGGGCGGACGATTTGGCCCAAAACAGAGGGTGGTGGTTCCAGCTCGTCATGAAATGGGCAAAGGCATGGCGGGCGGGCGGCCACATAGCTCCAGCTCACCCACCTTGTCCGCCTACTACTTCATCTTATCACAGACCAAAGAGTTAAATCACAGTCAGTTCTATCTTCTTCTTCATGAAAGCTTCTTCATTGAATGCCTCTGCCTTCATCAGCTTCATCATTTTCCCACTCTGCATTTTCCCTCTTCTCTTTCTGGTAAACCCCAGAAACAGAAATTCTTCCCAACCCGTGTGCAAAATCCTTTCTTTCCCTGTTCAGCTTGTAAATGCCCGCCGGCGGCGGGGCAGTCTCTGCCATCGGTGGATTACTTGGAGATAAGAAACAGACAAATGTACAGAGATAATTCTAAATTTCTAATGGCAGGCACCACATGTGATGGAGGGGAAGTTTGTCCTCTTTCTTTTTGCCGCTTAACCCCCAATCATCTCGAATTCCCTTCTCTGAGCTCTCACATCGCCGCCTGCTTTTCTGCTCTGCTCTGTTCAGTCACTGTCCACAGTTCCCACCAGCTCCTCTAGGCTCCACTCTCCCTCCTTCTCCCCCATAAACCCTGTTTGTTTGGTTTTTTCACCTTGGCTTACCAGCAAAAAGCATTATGTGGGACTCCGAGAGTGAAACCGGCGGCGGCGGCGGCGGCGGCCGGGATTATGGCAATGGAGCTATTTCCTCCACCAAACACGCCCTCCAGACTGATGGATTCGAGCTCAGAGACCGTTCCTGGTAAGAAAAATTTGATTTTTCACTCTTTCGTTTAAATCCTTTAGCCTTCTTCAACTACAGAATCGCTGGCTTATTTTATGGGAATTTTCTCAAGGTATGTTGCTACTGATATCCCGAGCGATTTCCTGGTCCAAATTGAAGGCGTTCAGTTCCACCTCCACAAGGTAAAACTCGTTGCTCTGCTTCAACAATTGAACTTCTGAAACAAGGCTGCTCTGTTTTCCTTTTCTCATACTATAGGTTGCTCTGTTTTTTTTTTTTTCATTTTTCCTTTCAGTACCCTTTACTATCCAGGAGCGGGAAAATGAACAGACTGATCTACGAATCGAGGGAGGCAGCAGAGGTGAACAAGGTTGTTCTCGACGATCTCCCCGGCGGCCCCGACGCATTCGAGCTAGCAGCCAAGTTCTGCTACGGAATCGCTGTCGATCTAACCGCATCCAACATCTCAGGGCTAAGGTGCGCGGCAGAGTACATGGAAATGACAGAGGATTTGGAGGAAGGCAACCTCATCTTCAAAACCGAAGCATTCCTCAGCTACGTGGTTCTTTCCTCGTGGAGAGACTCCATCGTCGTGCTCAAGAACTGCGAGAAGCTGTCACCGTGGGCAGAGAATCTCCAGATCGTGAGGCGATGCAGCGAATCGATCGCGTGGAAGGCTTGTGCTAATCCGAAAGGGATCAGGTGGGCTTACACTGGGAAAGTTCCCCCTAAGGTCTCCAGCCCCAAATGGACTGATAGCTCGTCGAGTCCTAGTCGAAACCAGCAGCCGGTTCCTCCCGATTGGTGGTTCGAAGACGTTTCGATCCTCAGGACGGACCATTTCGTCAGGGTGATCACCGCGATTAAAGTGAAAGGGATGAGATTCGAGTTAATCGGTGCTGCAATCATGCACTATGCTACGAAATGGCTCCCTGGGATGATCAAAGATGGTGGTGGCATTCATGAAGGAAGCAATAACAGTGATTTTAGCGGCAGTGGTGGCAGCAGCTACAACAACAACAGCAGCAGCAATTGGAAAGGCGGGCTGCACATGATCATCGCAGGAGGAACTACGACGAACAAGGACGATCCGCTCGCTCCCTCGGTGCAGAGCAAGGACCAGAGGATGATTGTGGAGAGCTTGATCAGCATCATCCCGCCGCAGAAGGACAGTGTCTCTTGCAGCTTCCTTCTCAAGCTTCTGAGGATGGCGAACATGCTGCGAGTTGCGCCTGCTCTGGTGACCGAATTGGAGAAGCGAGTCGGTATGCAGTTCGAGCAGGCTACATTGGCAGACCTGTTGATTCCTAGCTACAACAACAACAACAATGTCCGCGGCGGTGGGGATTCGACTGCGACTACGACTACTACGACGACAATGTACGATGTGGATCTTGTGCAGAGGCTGTTGGAGCATTTCCTTGTGCAGGAACAGACTGCAGAGAGCTCTAGTCCTAGCAGGCAATCGTTCTCTGAGAAGCATGGCAATATGTATGATGGAATGGCGGCTCAGAGAGGTGGTGGTAATAATCATCCTAGTGCGAAGATGAGAGTGGCGAGGCTTGTTGATAGCTATCTTACAGAGGTTGCTCGAGACAGAAACCTGTCACTGACTAAGTTTCAGGTTCTGGCTGAGGCTCTGCCTGAATCCGCGAGGACTTGTGACGATGGACTTTACAGGGCCATTGATTCTTACCTTAAGGTACTTGCATAAACCCTCTCTACTTCCCTAAATGATCATTTTAATTTGGCATCTATCAAAAGCTTGAGCTTTTTATGTTGGATGTTGGGTTGTGCAATAGTTCGGTCCGATAATTTTGATAGTACATGATCAAAACAAAGGAAAATTGAGGTCAGAAATCAGATAGAAATTGTATTTGGTCCAATTCGAACTTCTTTTTCTTCTTAGTTATTAGGAGGGTTCATAGAATCGAGATCAAAGCGTAACACATTCAATCTAAATCGGATTCTAACATTGATTTGATTCACGCGGATTAAATCGTTGCACACCCCTTATGTATATGTTGCATTGTATTGTTATTTTGAGTAGGGGTAAGCATCGATTCGATCTACACCTGAACGGTTCAGTATTCGGATCGAACCAGATCTAAACAAATCTAATCTGATTTGGTTTTATTCCATGTCGTTTAAGGAAAAAGTGACCCACATTGCATTTGAACCAGATTGAATCGGACCAAATGAACTATTATGATCCGATCTTCATCTTTATTTTAGCTTTGATTCTATCTTGATTTAACCAAATAGACCGATACTCACCCCTAATAGTAAGTGCAGTGGTGGAACCACCACGTTGATAGCCTCTCTCAACTCTAAAAAATATGTACAATACATGTAAATTTCGTAACAAATTATAGAAATGAAGCAGTATGTACAATACAACGCAGATTTTTCTAACTCCTCCCCGCTCAGATTTCTGACTCCGCCGCTGTTTAACTGATTATAGAATTGAACTCAAACATCTTGTTGTTGTTACACACACAGGCGCACCCGACGCTGTCAGAGCACGAGAGGAAGCGCCTCTGCAGAGTAATGGACTGTCAGAAGCTCTCCATCGACGCCTGCATGCACGCCGCGCAGAACGAGCGCCTCCCGCTCCGAATCGTGGTTCAAGTCCTCTTCTCCGAGCAAGTCAAAATCAGCAATGCCATAGCCCACAACAACCACAGCAGCCTCAAGGAAACAGGGGACTCTGCAGCGGCGGCCGGTTTCTACCAACCCATGGTGCCCAACAGGAAGACTCTGCTGGAGGGGACGCCGCAGTCTTTTCAAGAAGGTTGGTCGGCGGCGAAGAAGGACATCAACACGCTGAAATTCGAGCTGGAGACGGTGAAGGCCAAGTACATGGAGCTGCAGGGGGAGCTGGAGAGCTTGCAGAGGCAGTTCGAGAAGGCGACCGCGGCGGCCGGTGGTGGCGGCGGCGGCGGTGGTGGTGGGAAGAAGCATGGGTCGTCAGCGTGGGCGGTTGGTTGGAGGAAGTTGAGTATGTTTGGTAAGGGTGGGGGATTGGATGGAAGTGATCACGGTGGCGATCATCATCACCGGGGGGCAGGGGAGGGGCAGGGGAGCAGCCGGAAGACGCCGGCGAGGCGGTGGAGGAACTCCATTTCTTGATGATTTTGCAAGAGAGTGTTTGCTTGATATGTTGTGTGGTTAATGTTTTTCTTTCTTGCACATCTTATTTATCTATTTTTTTTTTAACTTCTATTGCTTAATATTTTATTTCGAAAATTTCGTTGATGGATTTTGATTTCGAGAGCGATAAATGTTTGATTAATAACTAGCCATAGTTGTAAGTGTGATCTGTTCAGGTTTTAGAAGCAATGTGGCATCAGCGAAAATTAATAAGATGCTTTCTTTCATGAAATACTTGTCCAAGTGTATGTATGAAACAACTTTGAAACTCGTTTAGAAGGAGTCGAGAGTAATGGTTGCCAACTGCCAAGGAAGGAAGAATTAGTAGGTCTAACTTCACAATAGAGTTTGCAAGAAAAGAGGAATTGACCTAGCTAGCTTACTAAGGATGACTTAGAAGGGCCCTTGAAAGCATGAATGGGTAATTGATTGGATTGTTCAAAGCTAAATGAATGATATGGTATAATTTTTAGGATTTGGATGCTTTGAACCATGACCATCATCTCAGGTGTTGGCAAAAGTTGGCTACATTATTTGCTTTAAGCTTTTGATGTTCTTGTTTGCTTTAGTTTGTTCATCTTCATTCATAGGAATGAGAATTGAGTGAGTCATTCGTCAGACCCATTCAAAACCACTCAACTAAAATTGATTCGTCAATGATCGGATGGGTGTAGGTCGTTTCCAAATAGATCCACCATAATTTAGGTGTATGCAGGTTTACCCGTCAAAATTGGCAACCCATCCGCGTCATTATCCTAAACTCTTCTATCAACACAATCAAATATCTCCATTCGATGAAATCTTTAATTTTAACGAAGATCTTGTTTCTTTTTATGTTCACCTCCAATTCGATTTAGAAATGTTATAGTTGATTCTTCTAGATCAACTCCAGAGAAAAATAAAGCATATGTAACCTAAGATGTTCCCTACTAATTCAATCTATGCCTTCATTTTAGGTGACACTAATTTAACCTTTAATGATCTAACACTTCCACCCACCTTTTCCAAAGAGAAAACAAAAGTACTTCATGCAATTCAAAAGATGTTTTGATTACCATGATCGGTCATCAAAGCCTTCATTATCAACCCCCAAGATTTCTTGTTGCCTTAGATCAAACAAAATATCCTTAGGTGCCTTGATTCACATCTATCTTTGCTCAAAATTTGGAAGTTCAACTCTTTAGAACTGTTTGGTCCAAATAATTTGAACAAGAAGCCTATTTCGAATATACGATCACTCAATAACAGAAGGCTCTGATACCATGTTATAAATCAGTTGGCTCCAATAACTCGAGTTTTTGGGAAAAAGTTATTATGGATTTTATACCACTCTCTTACACGCCTTCTCGGACGAAAGCCAACTCACAACTTGAAGTTTGCACAGGCCCACCATACCTTGTGTTTTAATCAACTGTTAATATTGGAGGTCGTGGAGATTCGAACACACGACCAGTCAAAAACCAGTTACTCACAATTCACAATAACACGAGTTGTTGGGAGAAGATTATTATTAATCTTATACCACTCTCTTACATATGGAAGTGATTGAGATTCATCCCTGAATCACTTCCATCAACTCGAGTTATTGGAACAAAGCGATTTATAACAGATAGTTACATTACATGGGTGATAAAGATGTAGAGATTGGGGGACACTCGGCCACCGCCCTTTCCTTTTGGTTCCTTATATAACCCTTTTTCTGAAGACTTTACAGCGTGTACGTATGGTGCATACATATGTTTAAAGAACACACGTCCTTCCTTTGCCATCCCACATGCTCCACCTCCATTAATATTGCACTTCATTATTGATGCTAACTAGCTAGAGAGCAATCCCCAACTAGTATGTATCAAAAAATTCCCTACTAGTAAGGGCATGTTCTTAAAGTGGTATTATCTTAGGTGTCATTGTGACCATGATATATATGGATGTGATATACTAATATGGGAATAGGATGTTTGATGTTAAGTAGGTTTAACAAGTGTACACTATTCTATGCGCTCTTCGTTTGGTGTAATAATAATATAATATGAGTACTTAAAGGCAAAATACGAATCTTTATGGGCTAAGATGGTCTATAAGAACAACATGTACAGCCTAGTCAGGCTTGTAATAGCGAGTTGAAATGAAAAATATGAGTTGGAACACTGATGATGGCCTAGTACTTCTTGTATCATAAGCAAAATGATGCGACAACAACACGAACTTGACTATCATCTTCAAGATATCGATCCTTTTAACTAGGTCAAAGTTGTCGTGGTAGTTCAAGCCTCTTGTAAATTTTTTTTTTATCTATTTATTGTATTCATGCACAATGAGAGTTTTGATAAAATTTGACTGATATAACTATCTACAAACTCATTTGAAAATTCAATCATATTATAATACGAAACCTTATCGATCGAACTTTGTTCAATTGTGCAATGATACTAAACGATACAAAACTTGATACATCAAATCAGACTCTAGTACATCATTTAATAGACGATCAGATCATGAAATCATATCGTATAGTTTCACAAACATCGAGAAAATGCGAAAAATCCATGATGACTATAGAAATTACTACTAATGAAATTTGGTGGGGGATATTAATTAGGTCCCTACAAGCACCGGCCTAGGCAACCTTGTTGCAATTTGCTTGCCTCCCCCTCCTCCTAAAGTCCCACATCATAATTATTTCACATTTGTGTTGTTCCTTTATGTGCTCAAAATTTCTCATATGAATAGAAAGTGGGGGGAAAGTGAGGGAAATATATACATATATGCCCCAAAGATGGTAAAAGCAACCAACAATTTGACCAATATAGTACCAAAATTGGACCCCTTTGTTTTAGTTTTATGTTCATCATAATAATAAGAAGTGCATACTATTCGATTCATAATTTGAACTTTAGAATCATCATCATGTTCACCTGTTAAAGATTACTATTTTAACTTCTGAAATTATCTTCATATATCAATATTTAATGAACCCAATAACCCATTGGACATAGCTAGCAAGGTGTACTATTCAGATCCATTATGCATTCTCATTAATTCTGAACATAGTTGGTACCAACAAGTCTTTTTTTACCCCTTATGTTTCATCACTCTTTACTCTTTAGCTCTCCCACCAAAACCTCTAGGAGTGATTCAAGTGGGAAACTACTAGAGTTGGTATAATGTGATTTCGAGTTTAAGTTTGACAGTCTAGCAACTGAGGTTTTTTTTTTTTTTTTTTTTTTTTTGCTAAGAGTATGTTGTCAAATTAACTACCAAGTGATTCAAGTAGCAAGACATGAAAGCTAATATAGTGTGATTTCATATTCAATTCTTACAACCTACCAATCGAATCGCCCACTCTCATAAATTTAGTAAGTATTCAAAGTATAATTGAATGTATGTGCCGATGCCAATATCTCTTTGGACATAAAAAAAAGTGCATGTTATTAAGTTAGCATTAATCAAAGCAAATCAGAAAAGCAAAGAACATGGAATCATGATAGAAATTAGGGGGGAAAAGGGGTGAAACCTAATTGTGATGGTGTGGTCATATGATCGATCATTCACATGAAGGAGAGTAGTGGCCTCCACTCCACCACTACCATGCCAGTTCATCTGTATCTTCTTTTTCGTATAACCAAATGACCTTACAAAAAAAAAATCATGTAGAATATTCCTTATCATAAAAAATAATTAATATTTATTAAAGTTAGGCGAGTTAACCCCAAACATTTGTCCAGTTGTAGTTCGATAAGGAGCATGCAAATCGATATTGACCTGATTACTTCTATCGTGCGAATGATAGCTAGCTGCATGCTCAGATCAAATTACCGTCTTCTGATGACGCTAAATTTTTACATATTAGATCTTAATTTTTCACGATAATCTTAATTTATATCTAAACTTTGTCAAATATATATCAATTTGTAGAAGAAAAGAAAGAAGAAGAGATCATCAATTTGACAGCAAGAATGCATTTTACAACTGGACACAACATCTGCATCCATATGTGTCAGTAACATGGTAACTGTCTTAGCTAATTGCAAAAAAAAAAAAAAAAAGATTCCTCCCATGTATCTTTCTGATCATTCCCCTACCTTCCTTTCCAATTTTAAATATTATCATTCACAGAAATACCAACTCCTCTCCCATTTTTCTAATCAAAATCAATTACAATACTTCGATCCTATGCTTCTCACAGCCTCTATAAATACCTCTCCCACACTATGCTCATCTCATCACACTCTCAACTTCAGCCACCTTATATTCCTCTGCCTTCTCTCTTTCTCCATCTCCAAACCTTCTTCAAGACCCTTCTCCCGATTCCTTAAGATGGCCAGCGTTGAGGTACTTAGTTTACAGACATGATACATACGTTTTCCTATCTGGGTTTTCATTCATCTTTCTGTATAGATCATCGATCGATGATGATCACAATACGAAAATCCCCATGTCACTGAATCCAGAGCTTTTCCGTCGCGAAAGATTTTTTTGTGTCCATTTCTTTGGTCGCTAAAAAGAAGCTCTGTCTCATTTCTGTTTTGGATATTCCTTTCTGCAGGTTGATTCAGCTGCAGCATTGCCGGTGGAGACCGAGTCAAAGGAAGTCCCCGCCCCCGCCCCTGCAGTGGAAGAGCCAGCTGCTGTTGTGGAAGAAGCCAAAGCAGAGCCAGCTGCAGAAACAGAGGAGCCTGCAGCTGCTGTTGTGGAAGAAGCCAAAGCGGAAGAACCAGCCGCAGTGGAAGCTGAAGAGATCGTCACAAAGGAAGTTGTGGAGGAAGAAGCTGCTCCCGCCGCAGCAGTTGAGGAGCCAGTTGAAGAAGCAGCAGCAGCAGCAGCAGAGGTCGAGGAGCCTGCCGTTGTTGCTGCTGAGGTCGCGGTAGAGGAAGCAGAAACAGAGGCCTCGGCACCGGTGGCAGCTGTGATTGAGAAGCCATCAGAAGCAGAAGGAGAAGTCGCTGTGGAGGGAACTGAGGAATGAATGGTGGCTTTGATTTCAGTTGGATCATGAAGCATGGGATCTGTCTATCTATCTATCTATGTTTCTTTTGTTGCTTTCTCGATGTTCATTACCACGATTCTATTTGGAGGGTTTTGAGAAATATTTTGAGTGTTGGGATCTTTGTGGAGTATAGAATGGAGTGTGGGAGATGTTATTATTGTACGGTGCGTGTCCACGTCAGCATTCGTGGCGCGCCACGTGGAATCATAGGATTCGGGGAGGTCGGAATGGTTTAATTTTATGCTGG